CCAAGCTAAGGTCACAGCCCGCCAAGCTGAGGTCGCAGCCTGCCAAGAAGAAGTGATAGATAGGCTTCAACAACAGCAACCACAACCGGCAGTAGCCTTTGCATCCCATGCATCCCCAGTAGGAATTCCAGCACCCGGGGTCACAGTCAATGTCTAAGAGAATATGGGTATTCCGGCAGATTCGATCCCACCTCAGACCTCCAAGGCACCAGTTTACCAAATGGAGGCGCCATTTGAATTCGAGGTTGACCTGACTGCATTGAAGGTCAACAAGCTAAAAAAACTCTTCAAGCGGGCGTAGGGCGTGAATTCAATCCCTGACATTGAGAATGCATACACAGACTCTGCAGTGACTCTTCCAGATAGATTCAAGATGCTGCACATAGACCGGTTTAATGGTTCCAGGGATCCCATGGTCCATTTGTGTTTATTCTCTAATATCCTACAACCAATGGGTCTCACCAGACTTTAAAACCTGTCGTTTTTTGGCCGGACCCTGTCGGGTATAACGGTCATCTAGTACGCAAAGTTGGAAGACTCCGTGAAACGGAACTGGGAGGAAATGGCCGAGGCGTTCATCGCGCAGTACTCTTACAATACCCAGATCGAGGTCACTACTCGTGACCTTGAAACGACCCGTCAAGAGCCAAAGGAGGGCTTCTTGGACTATGTGACTCGGTAGAGGGCTAAGGCCTCTATGATGACTATCAGGCCGTCTGAAAAGGACCAAATCAGAATAGTGGTCTTAATCTACAAGGGAGATTATTACAGAAGATGATAGTCTTGCCTTTGTTTACATTTGTTGAGCTCCATGAAATAGGGGTTCAAATTGAGGATGTGATGAAACAGGGGCTGATAGACCATGAGAAGGAACAGCCCGAGAGGCCTTTTACACGCAGCTCCAACGTAACTACAGGTGGTAGCACCTTTGTACGGCCTTCGGATATGAGTATGGTCACCACCACACCCAAAACAACCAACCCATTCGCCAACACATCCAACACAACTCCACAAACCTCAACCAGCTAGGCTCGATCCCAAAGGGTCTTTACCCCATCATATATGCATTTATCCAAAGCCCTAGGGGTCCTAATTAGAAAGGGGCATCTTAAACCGTTAGAAAAACGCCCACTACCCGATCCTCTCCCTCCTAAACATAACCTGACCAAATACTGTGCTTTTCACCAACAGCATGGTCATGACGCCGACTAGTGCTACAGGTTACGTCATGAGATTCAAGATCTCATTGACAATAAGGTGAGAGTGCCTCCCTAAAAACCCAACATCACTACAAATCCTCTCTCACCACATA